CTGATTACTATGTTGAAAAAGAGTGGTGAGACTGTATACCCTTGTCCTGATCTTAGAGGAAAAGCTTTCAATCATTTACTATTGAGTATGATGTTAGCTGTGGTCTTGTCATATATAATCTTTTTTATGTTGAGATCTGTTCCTTCTACACTTAATTTGTTCAGAGTTTTTAACATGAAAGGACGTTGTATTTGGTCAAATGCTTTTTTGCATCTGTTAAGATGATCATATGATTTTTACCTTTCATTCTACTAATGTAGAGAATAATATTTATTGATTTATATATGTTGAACTATACTTCCTTCTGAGGGATAAATCCCATTTGATTATGGTGTATTAGTTTTTTAATATGCTGTTTAATTTGGTTTGTTAATATTTTGCTGAGAATTTTTCCTTCTATATTTATTAAAGATATTCACCTGTGGTTTATTTTCCTGCAGTGTCCTTGTCTGGCATTGATACCAGAGTAATACTATCCTCACAAAATGAGTTCAAAAGTGTTCCCTCCTCTTCAATATTTTGGAAGATTTTTAGAAAGATTGGTGTTAATTCTTTTTTAAATGTTTGGTAGAATTAACCAGAGAAATCATTTGATCCTGGAGTTTTCTTTGTTGGGCGATTTTTGATTACTTATTCAATTTCCTTACTCTTTTTTTTTTTTCATTTTGTTTTTTTGTTTGTTTGTTTGTTTGTTTTATTGTTAGTTCCTTACTCTTTATTGGTCTGTTCAGATTTTCCTATTTCTTTATGATACAATCTTGATAGGTTGTATGTTTCTAGGAATGTAGTTGGATTTTAAATTGGATAAGTTTGCATTACTCCTGTAGTCACAAATCTCTATTATTTTTCCTCCATAATATTAGCAAGAGAACATTTGGCTTCTTGCAACCCTTTACTTTGAAATCCCCCTAAGTATAGGACCTGTGTATGCTGTGGAATTTTAGACTTTCTTAGCCTGTTATCTACTGCAGGTCTTACTATAGAGAGTAGAATCAAAAAGAGCCTTGTTTCTTAAAAAATGCAGTTCACATTTCTCACTATCAAATTACTTTACCTGCCCTGAAAAACTGAATTTTGAATCCTAGTATCTTGTCAGAGCAGGAAGATGAAAATATCATGTTTACTCCACACTTTCTAACTTGAAATGTTTTAAACGTATTTCTCCAGACAACAAAGAATGCTTTTGCATTTAAATTCGTGGAGATGCCTTGAAGTATTATTTGACATTATTATTAATTCAAAATTACATAGATGATAAACCTACAGCTAGGTCTTATTATTTAATGCAGTAATAAAGAAGCATGTATATTACTGTATCATATCACTGGGATTACTTAAATATGTTGATAATTAAATTTTATTTTATTTTATTTATTTATTCATTTTTAAAGATTTTATTGGGGAATCGGGGGAAGGGGAACAGACCAAGTTGCTGTTGTTTTGTTCCTTGGTCTAGTTGTGGAGGATGTTGCTTCACTGGCCCAAGTTGGCACCATCATTGCGTTCTTCTAGGGTGAGTCAGATCAGTCACCGGCCTCTGGACGGCCGTTCATGGCAGCTGCTGGCCACTCACGCTGGCTGCCGACTACACATGGTAGCTTATGGCAGTCCACTGCAGCAGGGGACTGCAGCCTACACCGTCGCTGGCGACTCATAGCAGCCCAGCTCCAGGTCAAGCTGCTGCTCACCATCTTAGCTGCAGAGGGCAGTGTCACTGGCCCTCATATATGGGATCCGAACCAGGGCCCTCTGGCGTCCCAAGCCAGTTCTTAACCAACGCGCCACTCAGCTGGCCTGATAATTAAATTTTAAATAAGTGGAATCTTTTGTAATATTATGTATTTTATATTATTTATTCATGGGTTTTATTTTGAGAAGGTCATAGTTTCACCAAACTAAGAGAGGGGCTCATGAGTCAAAAACGTTTGGAACCTTGGATTATGTGGATGTTTCTCAAGGTCTTTTACATGAATCACTCTTGGGCCAAGAAGATCTTTAATGAATCAAACAATGCAAATCATTTCTCCTTTTCTGGAAGAATGATATGTCAAAATGATATGAGTCTCTCTTTTTATAAAAGACTAAGGGTTACTTCCAAGTAGTATTATCCAAGTTAATTGTAAAGACTTCTGCAACCCAAGAGTTAGTAACCAAATGTAATGTGATTTGAATTTGTTGACGACTCTATTTTTTTCCTAAGGAATCCAACAGCCATGCGATTGCTTGGCATTGTTGTATATGTGCTCCTGAAAACATATGAGATTTTATAGTTTTCAACGAACACACTTTTTTCTCAGTGCTGCAAAACTCTTGTCTTGAGTTGATCATAGTTTCTGGGTCTTTAAAATTTGTTTGTTTGTTTTATTTTGTTTTCAGAGAAGAGACATTAAGAATTCGTGCCATAAGTTTATTTACAAACATATCTAGTATGCTGAGTTCAACAACTTGAATCATTTTTAAAGGGACTGTACCCCTTAAAAAGCTTCTCTTCATATCTGTTTCATGGATTCACTAAAACGTCCTTATTTCTTAAGCAGTTGGTGTCTCACTACAAAGAAAGGTGTGGCAAACCCAGATCCAAAGTAGAGTTGGTCATAGTTTTCCATTATTGCTTTTCTAATTGCATGTATAAATTACTCTGGATGTAATCTGTGTATCATGTTGGTATTTATTTTTTGTAATTGCTGAATTGTTACCATTTGATGATTTTGTTCCTTGTGCACTCTTTTTTTACTGGTGAGTTCTTTATCTACTAGATGTAAGAACATTTGGCAGTTGATGGACCTCAGTCTGAGTCCTTTGCCCATTGTAAAAGGTTCTCTCAAAATTTTTCAGAACCAGAGAATTAATAATTTATATTACTTTCTTTTAATTCAGTCTATTATTTCCACTGTGTTCTATTGTAGTCTGTTTTGTTCTGTTCTAATCTAGTTGTAAGTAACAGGACATTAAATCAGAAGTTTAAGCCAAGTTCTAAGATAATAAATGTCAGACACAAATTGACTTGTGAGACAGGAATTTCAACGAAGTTTCAAAAGCCAATTACAAGGCTACTCATAACCCTCACCCAACTCAAACAAATGAAAGGTCAGGTTGTTGACAGTTGTAAAAGGATTTATGAGCTAGATCTCTTTATGAGCTTTCTGCTACCAGGAAAGAGGTAGAAATGCATCGTTCTTCACTTCAAACCAAGGGAAGAAAGCTTCACCAGAACTCCTGGGGAGCTTGAAGATAAAGGGTTTGGGGAATGGAGTCTCCTTGTTACATGAGAGATATAAAGGGTTACATCGTGACAGATGAGCCAAAGTAGATTTCAGCCTTCTCTCAAGTAATTTATGGGAACGCACGCCTCATGAGTATTTCATGTGAATGAAATATGGCCCACCTGGTCTTGGAAGGGTGACAGTACCTCAGTAGACAGAAGCTGGAGATGTACCAACAAATTTCCAGAGCCATGGACATTGTCAAGAAAGCAATGTCATGTGCCCATACGAAGGTGGTGAGAATTCTCCACTGTCCTTGGCAAGAAGTCCCCAAAGAGTCCATGAAGATGCTTCCAGAAGAACCAGCTCTAACTACCTGACAGGGGTGTTAGTCAAGTAGCAGCTTTGCTGCTCCTCTCAGCCCCCTTCTCCCCTTTCTCTAGCTCAGGGTTTAAGGAAGCTTTTGGGGGAGGGCAGACAGTAAAGGAAGGAAACGTCAGCCATGCCCCTACCCAACACCATTTTTGGGCTCCGCACAAAACCCAATGTTGGAAAGAAATCTCTTTTTTTTAAGATTGGTGTGTATTATACGTGACCAGACCTTCTAATATCTGAATTGAGACTTTGGCAATTTAATATGATCACACAATGTTTTTATTATCTAAGAATGATCTGGAAAGTCATGTGACTACCTGAAATCTTGAGCCTGGGACAAAAGATAAGTTTTCCCCATTGAAATATATATATATATATATATGTTGTGAGACAAAATAATTTTACACCTCATAAGTTCTATATGTTCTCTAATTTTATATCCTCAATAAAAAAAGTCTGTTGCAACTGAACAACATGGTCATATTTTGAAGGAGTTATCTCAGGTTAATTGGTGCAAAGTTTAACTGTTAGTGTATTTTCAATCAAATTTCAGACAGAGAATTTCATCATACATGACTATTCTTGAAATATCAAGTTATTTTGAGTAATTGACTCAAAAATTAGTTTCTGTTACTTTACTTTCTCATGCAAGACTTTTTAAACTGTACATTTTATATTTCTGGGTTTTTTTGTTTGTTTGTTTTTTGTTAGCTGAGCCATCCTGCCACCTGTTGGCAGCTCAGCAGCAGCTCAGCTCGGGCCGGAACTTGAACTGCTGTTGCTCAGAGCTCGCACTCTTGAGTGAGCTCTTAACTAACTGAGCCACTCGGCCGGCCCCTATATTTCTGTTTTTGATAGATTCTTTGCAACCTCTCCAGAAATGTTGGAACATTTCCCATGCTAACTTTTTTTTTTCATTTTTCTTCAAAGGTTATAAAGGAGCTAAGTTTTCTAAGATTATAAATTCCATTAGTGTTTTGGCAGATTATTTCTTATGTTAAACATTACTCTTCTCATATACTCATTTGTTTTAAATTCATGGCAATGAAGCCATGTGTAGTAAAAGACACTGATCTTTAGAGTGTTTGTTTAAAAGAATTTGTTTCAGTTAAAAATATTCAGGAAAAACATGCATATTTTTTACATTTGATTTAATAGATGTTAACATGTCTCATCTGTTTCATTTCTGTATTCCCAGATTAAATTGTAACTTTGTAAAGTTATATAACCACCTGAAGATGACTTGTACTCTATAAATTCACAGTGTGAAAACAAAATGTTTAGTACCTTTGGAGAAAAGTGTCACAAAATCCATTGTAAAATCCAGTCTTCAATATTTTACTAGATGCTTCAGTTTCTTGACCATATTTATTTTTTTCACAGGCCTATTTTGTTTTGTGTATTTATTTACTTGTATTTTAGGTGAACCTGACCTTCATAAGAACTCAGAAGATCGAGTAAATGCTGAAGAAAAACATGCTGATACACATTCATAGGTTTGAAACATCATAAGGGCTTCTGTCATTTTAAACATGAGAGGTAATTTTATTTTTTAGATAAGAAACCTAATTTCTGAAATGAATTGTTTATAGAATATCATTAGAGACAAAGTTATCTTATTTAAATGTCCTCCTGAATTCATTTGGAAAAATCTCTGTCTTCTATCTTCTGGGACAAAATCTTAAATATTTACCTTTTCAAAGAGTTCTTACTTTGCTTATGAAGGAAAATTATACTTACTGGCACATTTTAGTCCTTCAAATCAGTGAAGCAATTTAATCCTGATTTCTTTTGCTACTTGTAGGAAATATGAATGTTCACAGCAGGTGATAATAGCAAAGCAAATACGTATTATAAAGCAAACATCAACGTTTGTTCTAAAATCTGTGGGCATTTGCATTAATGGTTCTCTTAAAAATGTGGCTTTTAGGGCTCACCTTCAGTCTACCAAATTATTAATTGTAGGAGTGATGCCTTAGAAATCTGAATTTTTCATAATCCCATCTGTTGATATTTCTGTACAATAATGTTGAGAACCACTGCCTTGGGCCTACAGAGGACATGCAGGCAGTTTGAAGGAAGGGAAGTGTATTTATAGTGAAGATGTCTTAGTGCTCCTTAAAAATATAATACACTTTTTTCTTTTGAAGCTGTATAGTGTGCACTGGCTTGGAGACATCCAGTAGGAGAGAATATTGCTTAATTTTGTTTAATTCAGTTTTCTAATGGTATTTATTTGACAACAAAACCTTGTGTACTTAAAACATCTATAAGGTCTTCAATGTTTTGGAGTGTTTTGTTTTGCTTAAATTTTCCTTTTATTTTTTGTTAATTAGAGTGAATAAGATTAGAGTTGGATGCACAATGCCACGCTGTTTTATTATCAAAAAAGACGCTGGGATATGATTTATCATATTTTCTTCCTTGAAGGATCTGTAAGAGATTTCCGGCATTTCAAAGGGAAATAAATATCAGGCCTGTTAGTCATTGGGAGGGAAGTGTTTCCTGTTCCTACCACTGCCGGCCCTTTAGAGTTGAGTGCACTACCCAAGAAGGGTAAAAAACCTATGGTTTGTGGGCTGGGTTTAGTGTGCGCATCTGCTTTTTTGACTTCCGCAATGATTTAAAATATCTTTTTGAATATCTTTAGACAGGGCTTATGCTCTTTAGTTCACTACAGTCCTTGTGACTCTAGTTGTTTCACACTCACACAGGCCCATTTAACTCATATATGTTACCTGTTGGGCCTGGATAGCTATTTGAGTTTGTGACTTCTGATCCAAGGGATCAAAGTTTTTACATTTTGGGATGAAAACACACACACACACACACACACACACACAAAGAAAGAAGAAATAAAAAGAGAAATTCCAACTGATATAAAACCAATACCTATTCTATACTGACAAATCTCCTCTTTTCCACAAAGTATATAAAGTCCAATGTGAAATTGTTGCACAGTAATTGATGCCTGTATATGACTAAAACATAATCTTCATATTCCTTTGGATTGTATTTCAGGATAAAGAGAACAGTACTAAAACATCCTAAATCCTCAACTTTCCACAAAGTTATACTCTCGTCTTTCAACACATGCTTGGTTCAGGCCATTTTTTTATGGACTCCGAAATAAGGAATTCATAAGAAGAACATAAATTCTGAGGTAGTAACTCTGGCCAAGTAGAACACTCATAGTTGCTATCAGAGATTTTGGCCAGTGCTTCTGTCATCATTTTTCCTCCACAATTGGGCCTTCTTCAATCAAGCCTGAGAAAATTTGAAGATGAAAGTTGGACAGTTTTAAATTGTCATCACTTTGAACCCAGTGCAGAAGATGAGGTATTTTTAAAATTTACTCTCTTCCACTGTTTTACAGAATGCTGTAACTACCATATTTTAAGGTCTTAAGGAAAAGGAAAGCAAAAAATAAATTATGGAAAAGTATTTTGTACGGAGGAGCAGGCCATTTAGATTGTCCTTGTTGTTTTAAATACATGGAAACAAACTGAGAGGCAGGGCTGTTTGGAAGCTGGAGTTGACGTCATATGACAACAATGAAGCTTTGTAGCCCTGGCCCTGGGATCTGATGGACATGTCGTCGTAACTCTAAAGCTGGGAACCCACAGTGAAACCTGTCCCTGAGACTAGTGAACCAGCCTGCCTCCGTCCCTGTGGCTTCAAAGTACTAATGCTTCACCTCCATGGGCTTCATCACAATGCAAGTCACACGTTACCTGCAATCCAAGATGATGATAACCTTCAGCCATTGTTGGATACAAATGCTAGAACTGAGAATGGAATTTGCCTTCTGGGGTGTTGATCATATATTACAGGCCAAGTGATAGGACAAGATGTGTGTGTGTGTGTGTGTGTGTGTGTGTGTATGCTTGTGTATGTGTGTGTGTATCTGTGCGTGCTTGTGCGTGTATTCAAAACTATCTATGAGAAAGGAAGCTCATACTTTTCTGTACAGATAACCTTATTTGACATGGCTTTATGTTTTACTACACAGAAACAAACTGCCACCCTTGGAGACTCTGCTTCCTTGTCATGTTTTGCCTGAGCATGTGCAGAGCTTTTCCTTTGTTCCAAACTGAAGACCTACCTTTATTCATCATTAGCTGACAAAAAACGTCAAGCACAATTAGGTGTTGTAACTTTTCACTGTGTAAACACTTCAGTGATTGTGAGACTAAGTGAATTTGTTTCTGTGAAAGGTAGAAATTGGATGGAAAAAAATCAAGAGTAGCCAGCAATTAAAGAATAACATAAAGGGAGGGTATGTCTGTCCTAAAAAGCTTTCTGCTTCTTTCCTGGGTTCCACAATGCTAAGCAATATTTTAGAAATGGATACAACCAGAAGCTTTTAAGCCTAAGGAGTGTGATTTTATAACTCACAACTTAGATGTCTTTTAATGTGCAAGCCATATTCTATATGCATATTAGGTATGCATCATTCTAATTTAAGATATATTTGTGCATAGACTCTGTAAAAAGTGCTTTGAAAAGTTCTGTGAATAGGTCCTTAGCTTCTGTCACCTGAATCTTGCATAGAACATAGCTAAATAATTGAATTGTATCATAGACATTATAATGCAATTGCTATTTTAAATGTAAGCAGTAAAGATTGATCTTTAATGATGGGCTGGGGGGAAATTTATAGATATGTACATCATGGTGACTTTTTGTCCTTTAAAAAAAGGTCTTTTTATTTCTATTTATGGAGAAACTATAAGTATTGCTTTTAATGTCTTTTGTAAGTAGCTATTTACCGCTAGAAAATATTCTGCATTTAAAATAGAATCTGACTCTGAAAAGTCTAATAACTTTTGTTCCTATTTGAGCCAGTTGTTTCTTGGAAAGCTTTCTGCTTCTTTCCTAGAATCTCTAGAGGGAGAAACACAATGAAACACAGCTTCTCAATTGTCACAGGAAACATGCCCACTTCGTTTTTTTATTAATACTTCAAGACCTATAGACATTGTTATTAAAAAATAGATGAATATAATGAATTTATTAATTTCTGTATGTGGGCTTTGACCTAACTTTCCAGGTTATATGACGTATGGAGGACTGTCCCTGAATTCTAGAGGGCGTAGAGCAAGCATGCCCCATTTCCTCAGAAGGAGATGCACTTTTTCTTTTCCAATCGCCATCCCTTTCTCCCTCTCTTCCCTCGCCTCCCTACTTCTTTCCTTTTCATTTCTCTATTTCTCCCTTCCTTCTCTGCTCACTAGTGCTGATGAGAGAGGAAGCCTGAGCAGAGGTTACAGTGCCCATCCCTTCTGCAAACATCAGAGTTAAGTTCATCATGAAGAAAAGGAGTGATGCGTTAGCTGGGCTGCTGCACCTTGAATGCCCTGCTTTGCATTTTTATCCTAAGCTACCTAATATATAGCTAACATTTCCACATACCTTTTCATTTAACCAGTACCTCTTAATTTTTAACACTGACAAGCTACAATTCTTGTGTTTTTATTCTACTGTAATTCTCAGTATTTCTTATTACATATAATAGTTAAATAAATTGTACTTGAGGGAACATATTGTGAAGTGTTTGGTGTCTGGCGTAATTCACTTTGGTGGGGCATTGAAAAGTTGGAGAAATCAGGGAAAACCAGAGATACACCAACTTAAAAACTGATGTGAGTCCTGTCAGAAAGTGATTTTTGCTCTATTAAAGACATAGTCATTGAACATTTATTATTGTACCTATTATTTGCAAGCTCCTGGCTAGATGCATGGTGTATATAGGAATCTGGAAACCTAAATCTTTTTCTAGAAATTTCATATCTTCTAGAGGAAATAATCTATACATAAAATAACTAAAATGCTACATATAAAAGTAGCCAGATACAAATCAATGCACCACTGGATATTAAAGGAGGTAAAGATTGCTTCCATCTTCAGGGCTTCCAAGACTTCATAGAATAGGTGGCCATGGGTTTACACTTCAATAGCAAATAATAACAAAAGCCCATATTCACTGCCTATTTTCTATGTACAGGCCCAATGTAAACACTTACAACTTTATTTCTAATCCTCAATAATCCAGCCAAGTGGGTACTGGTATGAGTAAGGAAACCAAGTCTCAGAGAAGAAACTCGTCTAAGGCCATGCAGGTCTCTCTGGCATCGAAGACCTCTTTTTCTTTCTACTGTATCTATGTAGAGTGGGGCAGAAGTACAGTGGGAAGAAAAGCTCTGTGAAGGACATTGTGAAAAAGGCAACACTGGAGGAGAATAAAGAAGCAAAGACTGTTAAGTCCAGGTGAAGACCTAGAGGGTTTCAATTAATTGAATTAAGAGCAAGTAACATAATATGTGCC